AATCTGATTTTGATAATTTTAAACTTGTGTTCTTATTTTTGAAATAAACTAAACTTATACTCTTGAATATGTAATCTTCCCTAAAAACGTTCCATGTTGAATTGTACTGAATGGGTCGAATCATTCCACTTGGGTCAGTGATTTTCAGATTTTCCTTTCTTCTTGAGAAAAGAAAACCAAAGTCGCTGCTAAACGACTCGATGGGACCATTAGCTACATACACTCGCATGGATTGCATGGTTCGATGTTGTGTAAACGTTATATTTAAAAAGTTTAATTATTATCTGCCCTGCATGAGTGTCAATACCACGATCAAAAGTATCAACACGAAGAATATATCATCTAATTATTCTTCTTAGTAAGTGTTGATACCGTATTAAGGCGGAATCGCCATTGTCGAGTATTAAAAAGAGTAGCACTTTGAAAGTAAGTTTGAAAAGGTAAGGCATTCTGCATTCATAATCTCGATTGTCATGTATTCTGTACTAAAATTTCTTAGAAAGTATCAATATTAACAAAGAGATCGTCCCATGACATCCTCGCAATGTGAAGGGAAATAAATAACAGTATGGCCATCGTTGACAGATGAGGCTGCTTGCACAAAAGAATATGCTTTCTATATATTCTGCATGATTCTCATGGTGAAGGAGTAGTGGGGTTTTGACAACAGTAGGGATAGGATGGAATGGGTTATAGAATTCTATTGTTTCCTGTTTTTTTTCCTTTATTCTTTTCTTTAAAGTTTATTATTATTTTATTTATTTTAACTACAAATAAAAGCTATTGTGGTGCTTGTAAAAGAAATTGACTTTTTAATGGTGAAATAAGCGATACTCGTTTTTTTGAGATCTTTGTCTCATACAATAGATAAGTCGAGGACTACATAAAAAAAGAAAACTTAAAAAACTATGTACATAGGTTGGAGGCCATTGGTGTAAGGATTAATCTATTTTACCAGAAGAAGTCGTCCAAAAGCAATGCTATAAAGGTTTATGGTGGGAGGTGATCGGATGGAAGAGATGATTGTGTTTTAAACTGTCCAATAGTCGAACGTCACGTGGTATTATATAAATCCTTACGTCAAGCATGATGTATATGTAGCATGGTTTTTGTAGTAATTCTCTTGTATTTTCTATAATTTGTTGTTTACGATCCGAGATAGTTTCTCTAAAGATCTCATTTAATCTTTCAATAAATGGAATATTATTTGGGTTCAAATGTTAGTTGGGGACAAAATTATCGAGGGGTAATTAGGGAACGTGTAATAGTTTATGGACTATTTGTGTATTTAATTCGAACAGCTAATTGGTAAAAGATCAAAAAGTCAAATCCCATTTCTTACATTTATGAATTAACAAATTAATATTTCAATGGATAAGATTGATGTCAATTCTCAATTTACTACGAGTAAAATTTAGTTTTTATATGGCCATCCATTTCTTAAAACTTTTTTTTTTTTCAAATTCATTTTCAACCACATATTTCATGGAATTCACAAATTTTATCAAAATTTCAACAGCACATTTCATCGACCTTTATCAAAATTTACTGAAATTTGATTTTGATCAAAACCAGTAAGACATTGTAACTTGTAACCGATGAAATTACATCATCTTATCTTAGACTTCATTTATTACTTATAAGTCGGTATATGTAACGCTTTAAATATGTTACTAAAGTGATCCGTCAAATATTTTTGCGCGTTAAATTCGTTGCTAAAGAAACTTGTCAAATACATTGACTAATGAATCGAAGGTTATTTTGGGACAAATTTCAATTCGAGGGTATTTAGAGAACATGTAAAGTTTTATGAATTATTCATGTATTGAACTTGAACATGTTAATTTTGTTTAAAGGCAACAAAAACTAGTTTTCACCACAATCAATCAAAACTATCTTAGAAATGAAACTTGGAGACTCTCCAAGCCATTTTGAATCAGAAAAGTGCCCTATAGAGAATCTAGCCAAAGCTTGAGCTACAATGCCTCACATCAGACGAAAAACATTCCAAAGAAGGAAAATAGTACAATAAAAGCAATGGATAAAAGAAGAATGTCCTATTGAGCACGAGGATGACTAAGTCACTATTGTCACCGCAGCAGTGCAGTTTGATTCTAGAAGTGAGATATGAAAAGCATATAATTTTTACACGGTATTCTTTCCAAGATAATAAACAAGTAAAGATAAAATTTGATCACGAAAATTCTTGAGGAACGCGGTCAAAACTTGCCCTGTGCACTACTTCTCCAATACCTTATTCATCACTCGTTGATACGAGAACAAAATCAACATTTAGTTTCATTTTTCCTAAGAGGCTGAACCCTTCTAAGAAGAGATGTAACAACATTAGAATTGTGTAAAGTTTAGTAAGTAGGAGCATGTTCAACGATGGTATAAAATTGAGTGTGAATTGGTATCTTCAGAATCACATTTGCATCTCAATAAATCCAAATTCAAATTACTTCAATGAGAAGATATAAATTCATTTTTTGCTTCTTGTGGATATAAAAAAAATATGTAAATTTATATTTTTTTAACATTTTTTATCAAAAAATACAATTTATATTTCCTTTGTATAAAAAATTTTGGCCACTTTTAAAATTTAATTCACAAATTAATGGATTGTGCATAGCTAATTGATAAAGATCAAAAAGTCAATCCCATTTCTTTAATATTACGTCTATGAATTAACAAAAATTGATATAATAGTAGCCTCCCTCTTCGGGTGGGGCGCCTTTCTCTCTCTACTCACTCACACCTTCCCGGAACGAACCAAGTCTTCCCTCTCTCTCCAACCCACCGGCCATCACACCCAGAATCTATAGCTGTTATCTCTCTCTATATTTGTGTATGTGTATTTATGCGCTACACCCACAGAGGAGAAAAATCATAGATTATCTCTGGGTATGTACCACTTGAGTCTTTTGTTTGCTTCAAAACCCAAAGTTGAAATCTCTGTTGCAGTGGAAATTTGAGGTGATTTACCCTTTGTTTTTAGGTTATTTTGTCGTTATGGAGAGATCCGATGGGAAAGGTTTCAAGGATTTCACCGACGCCTCCAGCAGTTCGATTTCTGGTTCGTAGCTCTACTTCAAGCTTCCCTTCGCTCGTTGTTTTTTTGTTTTTTCAGTTTTTATTACTAGCTTAGATCTCTATTTAAAAAAGAAATTTGAACTTTTTTTGGTTCCTTTTGATTTACTGCTTACTTTCTATTAGACCTATTTTTTTTTTAAATCAGGTGCTTCGTGTGCTGATTTATAACATATTTATGATTACGATTTAAATTTTTTTGGGGGTTTTAAGTTGGCTTTTGATTGTATGATGCAGATAGCGGGCTATTCGACGCATCACATTATGCATTTTTCGGGAAAGATATAGTGGACGAAGTGGAGCTAGGTGGTTTGGAGGAAGAAGAGAGTTATCCTACAATTGGCAGAGGATTTAGTGGCGAAGATGAGTTGCATGAGTATCATTTATTTGATAAAGATGAGGTGAAACACATGATTTGTAGGCTTTTTTAATTTGGTGCTAGCCTTTCATCATCCTTTTGGTTTGTGAAAAAGAAGTCAAAAGTTGTTCGTCTGTTGACAAATGGGTCTTGATCCTAGCAGAGAATAACCCAAGAATGCATGCTGTTTCTTTCAATTTATGTTAATTTTGTGCATGCTACAGTAACTAATGGGCTGTTGGAATTTACTCTGGAAAGTCTTGGGACTTGTTCAAGATACATTTGAACAAAGTTTAGGTACTCTTATGAGTAAAGAGCGTATAAGAGCCTTATTTGAATAATACTAGTGTGGTTAACGTGCGTTGCATATTAGTTGTTTAATGTTGAAAATAAATATATGTAAATTTCATATAAATTCATTCGTAAACATGAAAGATATTCATAAGTTAATTCGAATAAACTCACTTGTCGTCTATATTCTTTGTATCTTTTTGATTCTTCATACGAAGATTTGGTATTAATTGCGTCACAAATGTATCCTTAACTAAATATAATCAATAATTTAATGATTTTCTTTTATATTAGGTTGTAAATGTTTTAGAAGCTTAAATGAAGAGTTAATTACTCGTGTTTGGCACATTTTAGCTAGTTATTTGTTTAGATTCAAGTTGTTTGTGTTAGGAACCTAATTACTTAGTTTAAAGTTCTAATGATGAGAAATTTGATTGTTATTTTTGTTTCAATTTTAATCATATAATCTAACAAGAGGACCAAGTCCTAAAAATAATATATCCAATCGTCAAGAAGTTAGAGATTGAAAATACTGAGGTTCCTATTAGTTTGGAAGTTTGGAGATAATATATTTTTCATAATTTATTTATTTGTTTATTGTTGTTATTCAAATGGTTTGCCGCTTCGAAACGGCATCGACGTGTCGGTCGCCGGGTCGAGGGAAGTGCCCTTTGTGGGGTTTGGGGAAACGCCCTATCGGTCAAGTCACAGGGATCGTCGGGGGATCGGGGGCAACGCCCCCTACGGGGATCGACCTGCCTGGTCAGGTTGAGGGGGCAGCGCCCTTCGTGGGGGCTCGAGGGCAACGCCCCCAAAAGGAAATGTTATTTAAGAAAAAAAACTTGTATTCAAAACTATCGAGAAATTGAAGGCGAGTTACACAAAGACCCCTGACTATTTTTTAACTTAACACCATCCATTCCTATAGGTTTCTAAAATTCGAACTTAGCACCTAAAGTTTCAAACCCCTTGAAAAAAAATGTCTGGCGGTGTCTCCGTACCATGTCGGTCTCCGTGTGGGACGAAGATGGTGTCTCCGTGATACGGATGCAACGAAGGCACGACGTGTCTCCGTGCTGCACGGATCGTGCTCCGTGGTGCCACGGAGTGCAATGCGTTTTGCGAGGTAAATTAAAATGACATGAATTTAGATTGTAACCTCGAAAGAAGGTGGTGAATTCAGGAAAGAAACGTATTCAAAGCACATAGTTTGAAGCAACAACTACATCAACCAAATTATTATTATTATTGAAGCAATGACCAAATCAGCAAAAAATTAAATAGTGATATATATAATTTTAGTAACAAAGTTAACATATCTAAAAATCAGCTAGGTCCTCAAACAAGCTATAATTGATAATTCAGCAAGGAATTCGGTTTTACCCTCGTGGGCATGCTTGGATCTTTTGACAGCAGAAATAGTACCCAAATCCGGGAAAAAGGCCTTATAAACAGTGTCAAATGCTCCATGCACGACAATCCTGCTTGAATGAAATCCCACAATTTGGAAACTCCATCTTCTTCTTCTCATTCATGTAATCAATCCAAGCAGTAATCAACTTCCCACTCTACAAATTCACACTCTGCAGCATTGGCAGTCTTGATTGAGATAAGGCTGTTAATATCCAACCTAACATGGTTGTCATCAGGATCATTAAAGTGCAATTATCAAATTCAATTGCTATAAATTTGTTCTTGGTCAATTGCGATGAATTGACAAGGTCCAAGTACCCTCCTGCATTTCCCAAGTACCCATAAATAATTAGAATTCGTAAAACGCACATAAAAAAACCCTCAAATTTTCTGGAATCTTATCTGAACACACAGAAATTATAGTAGAATCAGAGAGACTTACGCGATAAATCCAAAACCCAGAAATAAAATTATCAAAAACCGTGCTTATATTCAAGAAATCGAAAGACAACAAACCAATTGATAACCAATCGAGCCTCTCAACTATGATTTTCCACATACATAGAGAAAAATGGAAAGACCCCAGCTTTATCATATATATAAGCAGGACAATGTAAATCGAAATTCAATGTGTGTGTGTGTGTGTATTAAGCACATATTGTACCGATTAATGGCGAGAAGAAGAAATGAGAAATTTTAAGGGTCAATGTGGGGAATATAGGAGTAAAGAGGTATGGTTGGTTGAGTGGAAAAATGGAGAAAGAGCAAAGACGGAGTGGCGTGTGGAAATGGAGAAAGCAAAGCGTGGGGGAAATGGCGGGAAAAAAAAATTGAATTTTGACGACGGTAGGAAATCGTGACACATGGCGTGCCAATGTTTTGCCTCTTTTATTTTATAGTGACTTGCAGCAGTCTTTTTAAGAATGTTTTATTACAAGTTCAAGATGTTGACCGTCAAGTAATGAGAAGGGAATACAGAGAACATATTTGGACAAAATGATCTGGAAATGCTGATTGAAATGTTTTTTGTGCCTACTAAACAGTGAAAATATACATTAATCTTTTCTGTATCCCTTGCCGTGAACTTGCATTTCTCATTTCTCAAAATGTTCTGGAAAATAACGCTGGTAAATTTGTTATTTTTCTACATTATTGGTTTGAGCCCACGTGATAGATGATAGAAATTTGTTTCCTGAAATGTCCTGTCTGCCCCTCCACTACCACTATTCTATGAAATAGTGCAACTGATTATAAATGTTTCACCATCATTTTTGTTTTATATCACTGTTAATTCATGCAAGGATGATAATAGTCCTGCACTGTCGACTTCAGTAAATTTTGGGTGATTTTGACCTTGTTGTATCTTTACACATTGCAGTATTACCTTGTTCGTTGATTTTCTGTTACATAGTTTCTTTTAATTGATCAATTTTCTTTTATCAGCAATGGGAAGTTAGTGCTCAGGTAATTTATTCAATTTGTCTTTCTTTCCAGGGATTGGCTTTAGGATCTTTATCGGACATAGATGATCTGGCTACTACATTTGCTAAGGTCAGGTGCTTGGAATTACTAGTATTACTAGCCACAAGTTTTAGCTTCTGGTCTTCTAGAGTCACATATTACATTAAAAGTCAATTCCTCTATAATCGCTACAAATTTTCTCTTGGAGTATTCCTCTTTGATGGGGCCGATGATACATAATGTCTAATAATGATGATATCCTGCATTTTCTCTGCTATTGCTTTACATGATTTCACTTTAAATTTATCTAGTGAACAGGAATTAATAATTGGGTGTTACATGTCTGGCCATTTTTTGGTGGATATATTAATCAATATAAAGTATAGTATATCCTGGGTAGAAATAACAGTTTTAAGCTTGCTTGGGTGCCTGTGGTAGTTCAACTATTCTAAAATGCATGAAGTGCCGTCATCTGGCAATCGATGATTGGACAAGGGTATGATATACTTATCCAATATATTTTATTGAACATAAATGAAGGAAGTGTGTGAGAAATGGTTGATTTACTCCGTATCTGTATCAGATACATTTTGATGTGTATTTCAAATGATTTTAGCTCTGTTTGTCTACCAATAAAAAAAGATTTTATTTTTTATTTTTTTGTAGAATGTGTGGTTAAATAGTAAGAAAAAGTTTTGGGTTTATGTGCAAAATATTTTATTGTGTGAATGTGTAGTTGAAAATGTGTTTGAGAAAAAGAAGTTTTTATTGAATGGAAGACAAACATGGGCTTTGACTGTATCAGACATCATTTTACATTAGAAACAAAGAAATATGTTCAAAAGGGTATTTAGTCGAGTCCATGAATCCAAAAAATTTGAATGGTTGATGAATTAAACATATGGACATATAACCAGACCAAAAACCTGTATGCAAGCCAAAGTAGCCAGCTTTTGTGGTTAAAGTTTTCTCTAAGTGATCTGATGATGTGTTGGCCACAGAAGGATTAATGCCCTTTTGATTTAGTTCAAAGGATTCCTCTTTATCACTTTCTCCTTTTGGTGTTTGGTGTGTAGGAGGGCAACACAAAGTATGGACCACTTGTTCTTACACTCTGATGTTGCTAGATTTTTGTTGTGCAGCTTGTTAAGAAAAGCAGTTTTTGAATGGGTTTCCATTTGGGTTTGCTTTGTGAAAGTTGTGGTGTTGGGTGATTTTTCGGGTTGTTTGGTATCGAAAAACCAGAATTTTTTTTGAAGGAAAAAAAACTGCAGGGTGATTTATGGAGAAGGTTAAAGATTTCAACTTTCTTTATGGATTTTTATGTCAAGTTTAAGGACTTCCCTTTATCTTTGGTTGGAAGATGTGACACATTCATTATTCTATTTTTAAGCTTGTTTTACTTTAAGAGGATGCCTTCTGATGATGTAAATGATGATCGATAAATTACATTTCAAATGTTGTGATTTTAATTATTGTAGATACAGTGTAGTGTGAAGTTTCCTTAGGGCTTAACGCCTTTAAGAATTAAATTTGGTTCCCTCTCTCTGATATATGTGAGTTAGATTTGTCACATCTGTAATGCTGATAGATACTTTTATGTTTCTACAGTTGAACAAAGTTGTCACTGGACCAAGACATCCTGGAGTTATTGGTGATCGAGGATCTGGATCTTTTTCAAGGGAAAGTGAGTTATTGCATTTCTTTATTGTTGCTGAATTATAATTTTTTCGATTTTGTGCTGCTTTTATATATTTATACTTCCTTTTGTTCCTGGTTTTTTCACATTATAATGAGGAAAAAATGGGGATCAAACACGCATTATTTGGATTAAATAGTTTTCTGGAGTGTTGGAAATGAAGCCATTTTTTCTATCTACTACCAGTCTTCATCTCGACTCAGCTGGGATACATGTAGACAACTTTCTGTGGTTGTCACATGTATCAAAAGTAATTTAACAGATTGCATAATAGTTTTTGCAAAGTAGTTGCTCAAACCAGAGAAAGAGAGGCAGTTTTGCCAAGATTATTTAAACTGCAGTATATCTAGTTGTCCAGACGGACAAAATAAGAATTTAAGAGAGAGCTATGTTAGCTTTTTTGACAAAGTCGAAGCCATATATTTCCTTTGCTAAGGTTTTAAAATCTTTCCTATTTTTGCTACAAATGCGAATAGATAAGTTTTTTATTTATTTTATTTTTTGTCCTAGTTTGGTTTTTGTTGTGTATTGGTTGTCCCTGTGCCATCACTTTCTCTAGCATTTACTTTCCGTCTTTGGGAGTGAAAATGAACAGCCTTCTAGGATTGAGGAACCTTGCATTGTCTAGAGTTGATTAATCGTTTACTTTCCAGCAAAAAAGCTACAGTAAATATTTAGAACAAAGTACAAACGCAGATTAAGGAAATCTAGAATTTGTTAGTTCTAATTTTATTATACCATGATTTAAAATGGACAATAATCACTTCAGTCTCCAAGTTTTGGTTTTAATTTCATATCGGTCCAATCAGTTTTATGATATAAGGTCAATATTGTAAGATCAGAATTTCCTAATTAAAAAATGATAAAAGAATAGTATTTAAGATACTACAAAGTAAAAATATTCCCTCCAAATCTATCATCCTCCTATACGACATGCATCTCCACCTAGTCGTACCAGCCAATTGCTACCACTTCCTTCCATCATTCCTATATCCCCATCGCACATCCCCTCCCTCTTTTCCCACTAGCTACCATCATTGCAAAACTGCAAACATCACAGCTACTGTCAACCTTACTTTAGCATTAAAAACTTCTACAACGATGGCCCTGGCATCTCCACCTTTGGTGTTTGAGACACGAGATTTTACACAACTATGAAATTTGGATAAGCTCCTTTCATTGTAGTAAGAAGATCTCATATCTCACTCTCTCTCTCTCTAATTCATGACAATTGGTAAACTTTGCAGGGGTTAAGGGTTATACAAGGATTCTGGTGTTGGTATTGATAGTGTTTGTGATGGTATTTTTGCCAAATTTTTATCACTCCACAGCTCACGACCTATATCAATTTTAGGTTGAAGTGTTTATTTTTTTATTTTTTTCTTGTTGTCTTTTACATTCAAAATTATCAAATCTGTTTGCTTTGGTTGTAACCTGGGTAAAACCCTAAAGGTTCTAGATGTGCATCGCAAAAATGTCGCTGGTAAATTTTCAGAAGAACAAGACATTGTCGACCATAATTGTTTTCAAATTAAACATGACAAATTATGTCAATTACTCACTCAAACTTCACTATGGGCCCCCCTTATTCTATCTGTATGTGTACTGGTATCTACTTCAGCTATAAAAGTTCCGATAAGTATATACATTACCCATATAATTATACAAAGAATATACAACTAAAAATTCTCTCTCTCTCTCTCTCTAAATATTTGAAAACGTGTGGAATCCTTAAATTCAGAACTTTGGCTTGTAAGAATCCAATGGCTATATTTGGCTGAAGTATTTGTTATGAGGAAATGAAGCCTAAATAACGTGACCCAAAATATAATGCATGGACTTAATGACTGTTATGCACACAAATATTGATGATGTCAGTTACTCATTTCATTTTTTGTATGTCTGGGACCATATACACAAGTATTTTCAACTCCCACTTTAAACCTTGGATAAAGATAAGTTCCTTGTGTTGAAGGATTTATGCCAATCTTCATCCCAGAAAAAATAGCTTTTGTAAATTGTAATAGTAGATGTACAAACTTAATACAGTCTGTGGTGTTTTGTTCTTTTGATGACTTGCAGTCAAACTAAACTTGATATACTAACAATTTATCATAATTTACATCGTATCAATCTGTATCATATGATCCTGCAATTCCCACCCCGCTTCTTTGTCAATACAGGAACCCTGTTTAAAATTTTAGGCTATAAATGCTTAGGCTGTTGAACGTGTGGCCTTAGTCCTTGATGTGGCCAGTGAATGTTAAGACTTAAGATATGGAAGTGACATTTTTGTATACATGAGTGCCAGATTATTGCCAAATAATTTCCAGTAATAGGAGCATGCTTTTTAAACTTTGCAGGGTGCATAAACCATTCAATGCATTTGTTTATTTATATTCTTACCAGTGCAGTATATACGAGTTGGTTGAATTAGAACTAAACTCAAGCCTGTTTGTTGTTAATTAAAAGTACCTTTTCTTGATTATGCTCTCAGTACTATTTAGGATGGGAAGCTTTTTTAATATTTTGACTGCTTATTGATGCTACATCCGATTAGATCTCTGGCTACTGTAAGGAATTCAATGGACACATTGCCAATAAAAATTCTGCTTTAGCTTCTTTAACCATGGAGCTGTAATTATCATAGTTTTCCTAATAAATCTTATGTTTTGAGTGCACGTAATTAGGAAAGGAAAGGATTATTATGGGATCAATCCTGGAAAACATTTGGTTTTCCGGTTGCTGGGTAGTGTCCATGTAAGAATGAGTTCACATCTTTAATGTTTGCAAACAAAATTCAATGAACAATTCACAATTGCATTGGTTATGGTAACCAGGCTATGAAAAGTATTTTTAATACATTTATGCATAAATTGGCAAAGTTGGTGGCTTGGTGCTTGACATATAGAAATGATGAAGTTTGAAATTGGATAAATATAAAATATTTTTCCTGAAGGAGTCTGTAAAATGAGATAATTTGCTTCTACAATCTAATTCTGGGAAACATTTCAATTTATCCAGCGATCATACAAGCAAGCTAGATTTTTTCTTCAGAATGGTAATGCTTTCCTTGTTTTGCAAATATTCTGTCTCGTGCTTCTATTTGTACCTAAAGCTAAAAATGGGTCTAGCATTTTATAAAATTTTCTTATTGCGCGATGAGAAGGAAAATCTTGGTGTAGAATGGAGAAGGTTGAGCCTTCTCACTAGACTCCAAGCAACTTTTGCTTTATCAATGTTGTTGCTAATGCTCTCTCACATATCATGTGAAGTTATGGCCAATTGATTAGTTGTTTTCTTTGAAGAAAATCATTTATGAAAAACTCAGTATTTTCTTTTGTTTTTTATGCTTTTATCCTTTTTTTACCTATTTCTTCAAAACTGGACCGTAGCTGCTGGTCCGGTCTGGTTGTTGGTTAAAACCATAGAAGTCCAAAACCGGAGGAAAAACCGGTCAAGTTGCAGTTACCAATTGACAGGTGCCGGTTTTTCTGGTTTTAACTGGCTTGTAATGGTTCAGAAAAAAATTGAAATTTGTCGGTGAAGCAGAGGCTGGGTTTTGGTTGGGACTTTGGGATGGGGACTAAGAAATATATATGTATATGAATGTGCGTGTATATCTACATAAGTAAAGAAGAGGGAGCTGAAGTAACTTGGATGAGGACGGCTGCTTTCAGGTTGAAATTAGGGCTTTGAGATGCTTGGCCAGTGAGTATGTTTTGTATTGCTTAAAATTGGAGTTGAAGAAAATGTACGTTGTTCGACTAAAATGTATCATATTAGAGTTGTTATCTTATTCTATGAATTAAACAAAGTCTGTTAATTCAAATTTAAAATTATTTATCGAACTATTTTATCTAATTAATTATTTTTTATTATCGGTTTGACCTTAGTCCAACCTTTTGACCCTCTCCCTTCTCCGGATCAATGCCCTGCCCGGTTTTGAAGACATAGTTAGTTACCTTGTTATTTGTAAATATTTGCATATAGTTAGATGCTGTGGCCTGGTAGGATGCTCTGAACCTTGTTCTAGTCATTCTTTTGTGGACACTTGATATTTCTTTATACATCCTTGTTAATCAACTGGGATTTAATGAAAGCATATTGATGGAAAATAAAGTAAGAAATAGATGAACAAATAGAATGCCAAATGGAGCAGGAAATCCTAAAATAGTAGAAGAGGGACATTGTGTTGAAATGAGTTGAAACTTGAAACTGCATTATTATTTACCCATGGGAGATAGAAAATGCACCTATGAACATGTGGACGCAAGTTTCTGGGAAAAAGCTAGCACATCTTGTTTGGTTGAGTCTTATAGTTTACATTAATGGATTATTAGCTAGTGTTTTTACGATTCGTGGATGATTTTTTCCTTGATTTGCTTATGATATGGTTCTCTTTACAGTGTTTAATCTCTTTCATTTTTCATTTAAGAGCACACATTGACATGCTAGAATAATTTTTACATCTTGCTGAATGATCAAATGTATGCTGTGTCTGGATGTGTAAATAGTTTTTGCCCTTAATATGTGCTTCATTTGTTTGATGATTCTCCTATTGGTGATATCTGTTCTGCTATTTAGTTCACCAACTGTTTGTAATCCCTTACCTTTTATTCACTATCTAAGCTGACTGTAATTGATATATGGTACTTGATACATTATCTATTTACTAGGTTGGAAAATTTGAAATCAAAATTCCATCCTCTGTTTCATTTTATAATATGATGTTTTTGTAGGTTCTATGTTTGACAACTTCTTGTTTCAGGTTCAACTGCTACTGAATGGGCACAAGAGACGGATTTTCCTGATTGGCTTGATCGGCATATGTCTGATTCTGAATATTATCAAGAAAGCAAGAGGTGGTCATCCCACCCACATCTCTCTTCAGTTCATCTTTCAGAATCAAGATTATTACACAGAACATCTTCGTATCCTGAGCAGCAGCAACAACAGCTCCAGCATTATGCTAGTGAGCCTATTTTATTACCACAGTCATCTTTCACTTCCTTTCCACCACCAGGATCACAACAACCTTCTTTGGATAATTTACATCATCTTAATTTGCCATCTCTCTCTAGGGGAACTCAGTCACCCTTCTCTGCACCAAATAACTCGCCTTTATCTAACTCAAATATGCATTTGTCTGGCTTGCCTCATGGATCACATTATAATGCACACACTTCAAACTTAACCTCACCTAATGTCTCTCTTAGCCGAAGGCTACAAAACAACTGGACTAGCCATGCCGGCCTCCTTCATGGGGACCATTCTAGCCTCTTGAACAATATCTTGCAGCATCAATATCAGAATGCGTTGCTGTCGCCGCTGCTAATGACCCCACAGCAGCAGAGACTGCATCCTTCACTTCAGCCATCTTTAGCTCATTTTCCAGCACTACGATCTCAACAGTTTAATAGCTTCCCTTCACCATCACGTTTGAGTAAATATGGATTAGCTGATAAGAGAGAGTCAAAGTCAAAATCAGCAACAAAAGGTAGAAATAGTGTGCGGTTCTCTCGCCAAGGTTCTGATTCTAGTACCCAAAGGAGTAATAGTAATTTGCCTCAGTTTAGGTCCAAGTACATGACATCTGAAGAAATAGAGAACATTCTCAAAATTCAGCATGCTGCAACCCATGGCAATGACCCATATGTAGATGATTATTATCACCAAGCTCGTCTTGCAAAGAAATCAGCTGAAACGAGGTCAAAGCTTCGTTTCTTCCCATCTCACCTGAGGGACCAACCTTCCAAATCCCGTCACGGTGCAGAATCCCAGCCACATCTCCATGTTGATGCTCATGGGAGGATTTCATTTTCTTCTATCCGTAGGCTCCGCCCACTTCTTGAAGTTGACTCTCCTCCCTCTTCTTCTGGTGATGGAAATGCTGAACAAAAAATATCTGAAAAGCCTTTGGAGCAGGAACCAATGCTTGCAGCTAGGGTTACAATTGAGGATGGCCTTTGTCTTCTTCTAGATGTAGATGATATTGACCGATCCCTACAATTCAGTTTACCTCAAGATGGTGGCATTCAGCTTCAACGGAAGCGGCATATTCTGTTAGAAGGATTAGCAGCCTCTCTTCAGCTTGTTGACCCACTTGGAAAAAATGGTAACACCGTTGGGCTGGCTCCCAAGGATGACATTGTGTTTCTACGAATAGTCTCTATTTCGAAAGGTCGGAAACTTGTCTCTAGGTTTCTACAGCTTCTTTTGCCTGGTAGTGAGCTTGCCCGAATAGTTTGCATGGCCATCTTTCGTCATTTAAGATTTCTTTTTGGGGGCCTTCCCTCTGATCCAGGTGCAGTCGAGACAATTAGTAGTCTTGCTAAAACTGTCTCTGTGTGTATCAGCAGTATGGATCTCAATTCACTTAGTGCTTGTTTGGCTGCTGTAGTTTGTTCCTCCGAACAACCACCTCTCCGTCCTCTTGGCAGTCCTGCAGGAGACGGTGCCTCTGTCATCTTGAAATCTGTTTTAGAAAGAGCAACTCACTTACTAACAGATCATCAGACTGATATCAACTTTACCATGCCAAGTCCTGCCCTTTGGCAGGCTTCATTTGATACATTTTTTGGTCTCCTGACCAAGTATTGCGTGAGTAAATATGATAGTATAGTGCAATCAGTTTTTGCTCAAACCATGCCTAACACAGAGGTAATTGGTTCAGAGGCTGCAATAGCTGTAAGCAGGGAAATGCCCGTGGAACTTCTCCGTGCTAGTCTTCCGCACACTAACGATCATCAGAGGAAGTTACTACTTAATTTTGCTCAGCGATCTATGCCTGTTATTGGTTCCAATGTTCATGGTGGAAGCAGTGGACAAATAAATCCCGAATCGGTGCGGAGTTAGCAAAGTTCTCATAGAAGCCTTGCAGTTGTACAGGCTTTGGTCTTTGTCATTCTCTTGGCATCATTTTAATGCCTCAGGTTCCTTCTAATTTATGAATGCCTAAGGTCCCTCTCCCTTTCCCTTTCCCTCTCCCTCTCCTAGGGAAGGGGTCACATTCTTCTTATTTCGGTAAAATATTGTCTTCAAGTAATTGTTTGTTGTGTCGACTGTTCTTGAAAGGATTAATGACTTGCACCTGTCATCCGTGGAGCTTTATTTTGATGCTCTTCCGTAAAAACTCTGGAGAATAAACTTAGTTGTAATGGTGAAATGTACAGGTCCAACTTTCTCATTTGAACTCGTCCTCTGATCTCGTTTAGAGTCATTGAGAAAGAAACTCTTATTCATCGAAAGGATTATTGGGGTATGTTGTAAAGAAGGTGGGTAGTTGTGCAAAGTGTGCAGCCTGGTTCTTAAGCGGAAGCTTGTAATGATTTAAAAATAGTTCTCATTTGCTGAATTTTTTAGATGTCACAATAGCCATTTTTACAGGATATTCACATATCTCGATGCCTTGTTTGCTGCAGTTCTCTCTTGCGCCCCCTCTGTGTGCACTGTGTTTATTCAGAGTTGGGTGAATCATTGGCCCTGTAGGTTTGGCTTAATTCTTATACAAAATTCAGTGTGTTATACTTGCTCGATTATTTGTCGCGTGCTTGAACTATCCAAGTTACCTTGGTTGGATTATTTAACTGTAAGATCCAAACAATATAAATATTAATGTAGGTTAAGGTTCCTTGCCACCAATATTGTGAAGAGAGTTACGGTTAACTTCTGTTCCTATTTCTGTGATCTTTTGTCTAAACGAACTCACAAAAGAGTTTAAATTACATGGATTAAACTAGTCGTGCACACTTGGTTCATATTAAGTCCTTTTTTGACAATCAGTATTTCAAATTTCTTTTCTTCTACGTAATCATTTTAACTAACATATAATAAAATATTCTGCAGATAAATTCAATTTTTTTCTTACTTTTTAAGTACACATTTTTCAAAAAATCACTATTCAAAATTTCCTTTTATTCAGATAATGGTGGTCAAAAGGGGGTCAAGTTTGACATTTCAAGTGTTGTCAAGATTTATGTAATTGATTGTTCGAAGTGTCGCAAAAATAAAAAAAAAATCAACGTGTAAAAAAATTTCACCTTACAAGAATGTTAAATTTCATCCCGATAAAATTTAGAATCTATGGTAGGAAAGAGGATTGACGTGAATAAATATGTTGAGATATTACTTGGAAGATAAAGCTGTTACAAGTGAACAAATTTCACTATGTATACAATTTTCCTTTCCAATTAAAGATTTACATAATGCTAGTTTTCCTTATTTGCGCAAGTTGTTTCCTTTGCTATTAGAAAAATAACGCGTTTTCATAATTTCAATGTCCAAACAACTCTCTAGTAACAAGAGTCGGTAGCTGAAGTAGCCACTATTTTTTTATTAGAGGAAATTACTGGGAAACATGGGTTTAAGATTACATTATCATTGTCCCCCGGGGCACATTCAAGTTGATAAAGGACGGGCATTACTGGACTTGCAACCTCAGGGTGGGGTGAGGAAGGCTCCCTTGGGGTTAGGAATATAAAGGATGTACTGACCCTGGTCAATTTGGGCATATCCCGCGGACCCGCGGTTAACCTCCACCCATCACTGAGGGGTCGGGGATGGATGATCTAGGATATAGTCTAGCGTAAGCTGGGATATTAAAAAAAAAAAAAGATTACATTATCGTTAATCAAGATTTAACTGATTTAATTCAAAAATTAGGTGTTAATTATGTGCTTGTAGTAATGCTATTTATCTTCCACTGGGATGGTAACCCAAATCTAAGTGGTGTTAAAGTTGCATTAAATGATAAGGGGAATTAAATCATTTATTTAATTTCACATTTCATTTAGTCTGTCGTCTAACTTTACCTAAATTTGGGTTGCAAGTCCAATAAAATTACATAACATTACTCTAAAATCACACTCTCTCTCCATAATAATTTATTTTTTTTCTCTAATCTCTCTCTCTCAAAACCTTAATCCAACACCCAGCATCGGGACAACCATGAAAGGCTGCACAATCGGCCTGGAATCCCCAAGATAAATAGAGGGAAGATGAAAATGGTGGTGGTTGGTATTGCTGTTAACCGCAACGGTCAAAGATGAGTGTTGTTGGTATTGTGATGTATAGTCGGAGTGACGTTCTTGTAAAGTTTCTCGGAAAATTCACTTGGTATGTATTCATAACATTAATGGTTGCAGCCATGGGAGGATTGATTTTTGGTTTTGTGACCAATTACATCACTTATGATCAATAAAATGGTTAATTGGTGATCAATATAAGGGGTTAGCAAAAAATAAACCAAAAATCGATCAAACCAACCAAACCGATTCAGGTAAGTTTGGGTTAGTTTGAATCAAGAAATTGGTTTGGTTCAGTTAATTTTAACCATGAAAAAAGTCGGGTCGAGTTGGTTACGGTTTAAGCAACCAACCCATCAGTTAACTGATCTAACCCGCTAATATATTTTTTAACACAAAAAATAAATAATAAAACATAAATATAAATATAAATATAAATCTTTCTCAAATAATTTGTTTATCATCTATGTTTATTCTATCAAAACTCCAAATTTCAAAAGAAAAGAAAAGCAGGTAGAATAATTGATTGTTGTAAACTGCAAATTCATATTGTAGCCTTACTTTTCATCTTGATGTAATTATTTTCATTTTGATATATATATATATATGACAGACCCAAACCGACTTGATAATTGTGACTAAACTTATCCAAACCGACCAAGTGGGTTTCGATTTTGAGTTGGACTCAAAACCAATCCAATTTGAACAATGTCCGAGCTTAAATAATATATTACACAAGAAATGTTATGACTAAATTTGTAATTGTAACTCATAATTTGTGAAGTTGTGACCAAATAATTTAATAACTTGTGACTGATAAAGTTGTGATCATAAAATAAACTATTACCTATAAATTTTTTGATCTGTGATCGAAAATAAATTGTGACCAATTATTTGGTAATTGTAACCAATATAATGAGTAATACGTAAGCTAAAAATAGGTTGGGACTAATTTATAAGACATATGATTTGTGTTTTTGTGATCAATAAATAAGTTGTGATTAATAAATTTGATAATTTATGAACGTTAAATAAGTTGTGACAAATTAATTTGATAATTTGAGACCTTATGAGTTGTGACCACTGAATTTGGTAAGTCACAACCAATAAATAAGTTTTTTTTTTTTTTTGTGGGGGGGCGGAAATGGATTTTTGAAGAGTGTGTAGTTAAAAAAATAATATTTTTTTTATTTATGTGCAAAAGATTTTATTGTGGGGATGCATGGTTGAATGAATTATTATTGATAAATAATAAAATAATCTAAAGAAAAGCTAGTTAAAATAAAAGATAAAGAAAAATAATAAATATTTTTTTGGGAGTAGTAAAATTAAATGTTAAATATAAAAAGTTTGTTAGAGTATTTCAAAATTTTAACTCTTTCAATTTATAAATGCTCTCCAAATGATAAAATATACTCTTTAAAAATAGTCTCTTGGAGATACTCTTAGACCAATATTATTTTCCCCTGTTTGGTTGTTCATAAACAATCGTATCACTTTTTATTCACATATTTCTTAAAATTCAAAAGTACTATACATTCACTTATTTTTATCTATTTATTAATTTAAACCATTTATAAACAACTCAAAAACATGCAAACTGAACTTTCAATCTCAAAGTTGCAAATTCTGAAAATAGCATTATTTGCTATATTCATTGTGAAATCACATCCTGTAATGAAGAAAAAAATCACGATTTCAGCCTATTTGCCATTCAAACATCAACTGTGGACGAGGAACAGACCAACCAAAATTCTTTTAGCAGCCAAAAAATGGCTCATGAATGTGCACCCACAGTTCTGAGTGGGTTAAATATTACAACGTATTAAACTATTAAGTATCAAAAATACCCAAAAATGCATTCTGAGTCCGCGGTGAAATGGGATAAATAATCCCAAGGATGGCAAGAGAAAGACGACCATCAAACACTGGACTAGACTCTATGTTTACTAACCATATGGGAATTTCTAGCGCTCTTTCTACTTTTATCATTGCCGTTACATACTTCTCCTAGCACGAGGCAGACTGTCAGCTTTGAATCTACATGTCGTTACATGGTTTTCACAACTCATCGTGATCGTTGGATTCATCATTTTTGTCAGTTGCTGAATAGTCTGATTCTTCAGCTTTTTGATCTTTTTGAGAGGTTGTCTCTCCGGAAGATGTGTCCTTGTCATTTGATTTATCAGTAGCACTCTCATTTTCAGTCTCTAAGGGCTTCTCGACTTTTGGCTTTGGCTTGGGAATCCTATTGATTCTTGCAACCTAGACGAATAAACATTAACCATGATAATATAGAAATTACAAATTATTCTAAACTGCAAATTTATAATCGCTGTCAATGAAGGTAACAAAGAAAAAATAAATGTAGGAGCATTACCTTGTCCTGAAGGTCAAAAACTTTGGTATATACTTCATCAGACTTGAATGCTGGGGTAGAAAATCCAGAAATCCTGTTTCAATTATTTTAAGCTTGTGAATGTCACGAAAGTTGCACACGATTCAATGGTACAAATTAAGGACTTTGAATAGAATGTTTCTACACCTCAACGATAAAGAGGATCATGCAAATTCATTATAACTGAATAGATGATTCTATTGGCAATTGATATATTTGCCACAGAAAGGACATTCGATGAAAAGATCCATGATGCAATATTTTTTTAAGTTAAAAGAACTAAAAGGTAAGTATAAAAGGAAAAACTCACTTCTTCTGCTCCGCCTCCTTCTCATTCAACCAATTCTTCACCTTTTCAGCCTCACTTGTGACCTGGAAAATGCAAAAAGTACACACAGTTCAAAAATTTCAACCTATTAATAAAACAATCTATGTTTCCAACATATATTTCCACTGAATACAAGGATGCTTAGTCAGATAAGAAGATTAAATCACCTCATCTATTTTCTCTCTTGGAAGCCAAGATTTGTCCTTTTCCCATCCGTGTATAATCTGAAGATACGATGGGCAGAAAGGAAAAGTCAACAGAGTGGTCAACCAAAAATAAAGGGAGCATTTAGCAAACTCGAGCAAAATAGACCTAGTTCAATAAAGAAGGGAAATATCATAAGATTTGCAGCAATAATATACACACAAACCCTCTCAAGAAAACTAGAAACAATAAAGCGTTTCAAGGACTTAAACACCATGTGGAGTAAAAAACTACCTTCAATTCCTGAAATGATAATGGCCTTTAAGTCGAGTATCTCTTCATGAAATGGTGAAAGAAAACCCAATAGTTTCATCTGTCTTAGCAGACAATTTGTAATTCAATCTTAATGACTATCTAATTAATATAATTGTTCAGGTTTGAAATCATTGTGTTATATAATTAAGAACGACCTAGTTTTATCTGAAACAAAAATATACAGGTTTTGCTCATCTTATAAACATAACCAATAGCCACACCAGGTCTAGCAGAATTTATTGTTACCCAAACTAGTTTTGAATTTGACAAACATACACCAAGGACAAGGACCACCAATTGATAACAACTGCCATAATTGGCAAAGAATTTGGGACACATTATAGAATGTCTTGTGAACCAGAACAATCTTTTCATTTATTGTTTATTTTTGATGGATTTTGTAACAGTGTCTACACAATTAAGATCCTGTGCTATCTCATTTGAAGTATTCATTTGCTGGTTATTAAGGGGTAAAAAAAAAAGGAAAAAAACTACCAGCTAGCTGTACACAACATTTGCTTGCCAATTGGGGCTTAAAACCTTCGAGTTTCATCACCTATTCTAAAAAACCTTTAAGAAATAGCAGTACTGCGGGGTTAACCATCAAAACTATCAGAAGAGGAGAACAAGTCCAATCCTTCTCGTCCTTCCTCAACTTAGGACTCTTAACTTCAGGTATGAAAAACCTGGATACCAATTTTATTCATTGTTTATTAAGATTAGGTAGAACGATAGCAGCAAAATCAAAGATAAAGCTACAAGATTTCATAATTCCTTGCAGCTACAGTCAGTAGCCTCATCTTTTCTGCAGTGAAATCTGCCAAAGACTTTCTCCAATGGTTCTAGCAACATCTATATTTAAAGGTAACTTCATTGTGCTGACCTTTCTCAAGTCCAAGCTTCCCTATCTAGGTAAACATGAAACATTCTTTATATATAACATGCAGCTACATGCACAGTCAGAGATTATCAAAGATAAAGATACAATAATTCATAATTCCTTGCAGCTACAGTCAGTAGGTTCATCTTTTCTGTAGTGAAATCTGCCAAAGACTTTCTCCAATGGTTTCTCCAATGGTTCTAGCATCATCAAGATTTAATGGTAACTTCTTGGTGTTCACCTTTACTCAAGTCCAAGCTTTCTTTCTTGGAAAACAGGAAATATTCTACATATATAAATGCAGCTACATGCACAATCAGAGATTATCAAAGATAAAATAGAAGGTCATCTAAAGTTTTCACCCACCAGGTGATCTACATCAACATTAAATGTTTCAAGTGGTGGAGGAAACTTTAAGGACATGCCTTATATTAAATTTATAACAATTGCCAAGACAATACATATTTAAATACTTGGAAACTTCCATTGAACACACACACATCCAAGAGGGCATCAAAAGTTTCGCCAGTCATTTCAATACTACAACCCACACTGTTAAGGAAAACTTATGCATCTTATAATTCATCTCGTAACCACTTCCAAGTCCACCACATCACTATGCTATTCTCTGTGGCCAGTATACATTACTACGTAGTATACATTACTATGTTCTAGTCATAAATATTTTCACACGTGAAATTAAATATTACTTCCGGTCATGAATATTTTTACATGGATATGAAATTAAATATAACGCATTTCATGTTCAAATGAACCATTAAATTCTGTTTGGGTAAGATAAAAAGAACTCAAGTACAGGGAAGTTGGTTATTTAATGTCCCAGTAGTGTTGTGTGTGCATCCCTAAGACAATTAAATATGAAGTCATTTGACATTCAAAGACCCATGAAGTTCTGTTTTATGAAATAAAAGGCAGGAAAGCGAAGTTGGATATCCCTAAGTTTTCCTGTGTTAGCGGGAAATATTGTTGGAAACATTTCCCTGCGGGAAAAACTTTTTCTCCTATAGCCCTCGTTTGACACCCATTTTCTTCTCATTCTCATTTTTTTCTCTTTCTTCATTTCAACCACACATTCTATCAATAAAATAATACTACACATAAATCTAAAAATTCTCATTACTTTCAACAACACATTCCTCCATCAATCACTATTCCAGAATTTATTTCTTCTCCAAAATGGGTGTCAAACAGGGGCATCGTGCAAAATCTACAGTCTTGCAGGAAAATGTTGACCACCCCTTGTTTGCCATATATATATTTAATTATAATTTCTCTTTCAACTTTTCATGCAAGCATACCTGTGCAGGAAAATTATTTTTATTTTCACTTAACCCAAAAAAATAAAATTTCATGGATAATTTTCCTGCTACTTATACAAACCTTATAGTTCAATAATAACCACAATAAGCATAGATCAGGAAAAGATCACCTGTTTCACCTCCTCGAGGTACCTCCGAGCATGTTCAGATGCAACAGGCCGTGCGGTAAGTTCATTGTACCTATATCAAGAAACTTCGTGTTAGAGCAACCTCTATAGCAAGGAATATATTTATTAAGTTATTTCAATTGATTATAGGGTCAGACCTAAAGAATATGGGGTCACCAATAGCTTTCAAAGTATTTAGGCGCTCTAGAAATTCATTGGCTGAAGCATCTTCACCATCGGTGTACAACCATTCTTGCACCTGATGCAACAGATGATGCTTATTTATTCCATACAAGATGCAATCAAGCAGTGTGATCAGAAATGCCATGCGAGACCAGAAAAAACTCCTCTCTTCTTTCTTATTATTATTATTATTTTTTTGGGGGGGCGGGGCGCATGTAAGTGTTAAAATTATTACTTCATGTAGNGAGAGAGAGAGAGAGAGCCATAACAGACCTCGTTGAGTTTTTCGATATAGGACTGCCGCTCTTGGTCTGAAGATATTTTCTCAAACTCCTCAGACTCAAGCTGATGCCAAGAACCAAGAGAAGAATTGAAGAAATACACACAGGTTATTATTAGCTTCATAATGTTAAAAAGAACAGTTAACCTATGTACATAACTTCAAACCAAAATAATAAATGAATACAGGAAATCAAGATGGAAAAGAATACAGTTAAAGCAGAAAGGGAAATAAAATTATGACAAAAACAAAAACAGCAATCACAACAAGAGGAAGCAGAAAGCCAGAGAGGACAGCACTCAAGTCAACAAAGCATGGAACATAATAAAATGCAAACAAAAACTCCACTAATAAACACTCAAAGTATGCAGGTGTCAAGTGTGCATATGCGTAAAGCCATCAGCCCTTCACATTCGTAATTCATATAAAACGGCTGTTGATAGTGAAATTATCACAAAAATCAAGAGAGAAGTCAAAAACTCAATGGAAATGTGCAATAACCTAATCTACAAAAAATTTCCATTGTGAGAAATATGTAGGTAAAATTTGACAGAAATAGTCAAGGAAAGTCTGCAGGTGTCCAAAATCACATAAATATTTATACCTTTTCTTTAGTAGAATATATGTATTCTTCCAAATTATTTTTCAACTCAGCTGTTCTCCTCCTTTCTGCATCCTTCTTGTCTAGTGCTTCTAATTTACGTTTAGCCTCAGCAAATGATTCTTTTGAAAGAGGCATTCCTTGCCCTACTGTCTTCTCAACAACCTATATGGAACATACAAGTCAAGTCTCAAAACATAAAAATCAATTGCAAAAACTAAACATTGTTCAAACAAAGATCATAAAGACAACCACTGTACTATGCAATTTTAAGTACCTTAAGTGGGAGTCGAAAAGTCCTCTTTTTCAGCTTCTTTTCCATGCTAAGATCTGAAGTGGCAAAATCAGTTACATTGGAAACTGATGCATTACTCGTGCTATCATTCATCTCCAATTTGTCACTGCTTTCTTCTGAAGTACTGCTCAGACCAGCTTCTGTGCCGATGCTAGAAGCAGAGGTTGAGTTGTCGGCTGTTACATTCTTTCGTGGAACTTCTACCCATTCAGTAATCTCAACAACAGCATCTGCTCGATCCAAGGAAAATACACCACTTCTACTGAGAGAAAAGTGCAAATTGGCCTTAATCGGCGAGGAAAGATTCCGTGATGAGTACCTAAAACAAAGAAAGGGGCATCACGAAAAGCCTCAGAAGCGAAAAAGAGTGCACCAAGTAAAAGAATGAAAATTTAAAAAATTTATAAAAAAAATTGATTTAACACGGTCCTTACTTTTCACTAGAATCTGTAAGACCTGAGACAGCATACTGAGCAAATGTAAGTGAAGATACCCCTGGTGGCATGAAATCTTCACTCTCATATGCAAGTGAAACTTCAAAATCTTTGTTGTTAATAATGGATCTGAACATCTGAAGTGCAGTAAAACTGATCAATATATGACATGTTGAGAGAGAAAATTTGACTTAACCAAAAATTTTACCTTGCTCGGTAACTTTTTCATTCTCGGCACAATCAACTGTCTAGGATTTTCCTCTTTTGAAAGATTGGGACCATCTAACTCAATCACAAATCCATAAGTAGAACCATCAATCATTCCCAGCTTGCGATTTAATTTTATTCCATCACTTAAATTTGCTGCATGTAATGAAGCACCCAGAACAATAGCTTCATCGGCATCCAAATGTTTATCCAGATCCTTCCTTCCAAGAAGTTCCAGAAGCTTAGCCTGTAGAAGGAAATTGCCTAGTTCATTTAAAATGAATATCTCTTGATAATAACAGCCTTTAGCATTTGCTTACTCGTTAGTCAAGAGAAAGCAGGCATACTTTGTAGGAATCCATGAGATCATCATAAGAAAGCTTAAAGGAAACCAAACAACATCATTGAACATGGTGTCAAAGTTCAAACTATCAATTTCAAAATTAAGCCAAAGACATACTTTTCATTTCATCGTGTCAATTGAGTCTATACCCTAAAAAAATAACAGGATGATATTGTTTTCTTATATTCCTATGTTGAAAAGAGAGACTGAGAAGGACCTGCAACTTTGGTACCCTAGTGGCACCTCCAATCAACTCCACTCCATATAAATCATCAGCCTCCAAACCTGAATGCTTTAAAACTTCTTTTACTGGAACAAGAGCTTTTTCCCACAGATCTTCGCAGAGCTCTTCAAACTTCTCGCGAGATATTGTGCTCCTGAGAAAATATCAACTACGGTGAAGCCTCAACATGCTGACAAGCAGATCACTCATTACATGTCACAAAATCTCGATGTGGACAAATAACACCAATGAGTCATGCAAATCTCGGGCTAGAATCGCAGGACATACAGTAACTGGACATTGCTCTCCCTCTGTCCAACATGTGAACACATGCTCACAGAGAGAGACATTAAAGGGAGAGAAAATCCTGATCGCTGGTGAAAGGTAATATCAGGAAAAGGAAGCATTCGTGGACTGTTGAATAGTAGAACTGGTCTTTTGTATAATATCACTAAAACGTGAGGTTCATATCTCAGGCTGCACTCATTCAAAGGGTAATTGTATACAGTTCATCGGATGATCCACCTCATAGTACTTAATGCTCATAAATTCAGCCTTTTGTCTAACTATTTTAATGAAAAAAGTGCATAACATCACAAAGATTAAATACACTTGGTTAAGTGGCTAAAAACGAAGTTCCACATTGATGAACATTTAAAAAAAATTCACTAACTCAAACATATGCACAAAATACTCAATTAAGTTTACAACGAGTAATCTCCTTCCCACCAAAGTAAATTTCCACTTTCCACCAAGAACGTGTTTTGGTTCACTCCATATGTTCATCAAATAAAATTTGAAAAAAAAAAAAAAAAGAAAGAAAGAAAGAGCAGAGGCTAAGTAGTTAGGATAGGAAAATCAGAGAAGAAATATGAAATTTGAAATTTTGCTTGAACTTACCTAAAGTCACGATCATCATAAAGAGATTCAACAGAGATTGGGGCCATTGTATTGGCACTAAGAATTTCTTTGGTGCGCTTAACTTGTTTCTTCAATTTGGCCATTGCTTTCACATTGTTTCTGATGTCGACCCCATTCCCGAGTTGTTTGTTGAACTCATCTGCAAAGTACTCCACCAGCCGCAGTTCCATATTTTGACCTCCAAGTTCTGCATCCCATCTAACATCTTTCACCTGAAACAACTTATAGAATGTAAAACATCTACAGTAACAGCTAGACAAAAACTGAAACCCCTTTTTCAATTACACTCGGGATTTTTTTTTTCTTTATTTGAGATGGGTCTTGGGTTATCTCCTATTCATTTTAAACCAAAATAGGACCCGACTTATATTAGCTTGGCCAGCAATTAGGTCGAATGGCAGCTCAAATTTATAGACGAGAAATTAAGACTGACAATGTAATTTCAGAGTCTATCCTTTCCTTGTTATTCCCTGTTATTAGAAGGGTGCTAAAAATACAGGCCAAATTTCGAGTATGTCTCATCCTTTAAGTAAATTGGTAACACTTAAAAAAATGTAAATTTGAAGTGAAGAAATTGAATAAAAATACATCAAAGAACTCACTTGGAATTGATTAACGGACGTGGTCTTTCCAAACTCTTTTGCATTGTAAGCAGAGAAATAAACCAAAGCAGCATAAGTACTGCTTGCCCCCATGTCATAGAACAACACATGCCTCGACCCATTCGAAAAATCCTTATCAATCCCATACTGCAAGGCTGCTCCCGAATGCTCATTAACTAACGCCAACACATTGATCCCAGCCAAGTCGGCGGCCGTCAGCAGCCTCCTCCTCTCAGCCACCCCCATGTAGGGCGGCACCGTGATGACCAAATCCTTAACACTACTCTTTGCGTGATTCTCCGCAAGCCCCATTGCGTACTTCAATATCATCGCCACCATCTCTTCAGCCGTAAAGTTATTAAATTCTCCTCCCTCTCCCTCCGTTCTATACACCGCAACGTCCTGGGTTTCATCCGGGGTAATTTCGTAACTAAGATACAGGGACTGAAGAAACTTCTGCGTGTAGTTAAAGGGTTTTGAGAGTAGAATCGGGAGGTGGGAATGAACTTTGGTGGGGTAACGAGCAAGGAGACCAAGCGATTCCTCACCAATTAATCGTGAATTCGCGTGAAAAGCAACGAGAGAAGGGGTTTTACGTTTCGACATTTCGTTGATCGCGATCGAAATCGGCGCCTGTCCCGGTTTCAAGTTGACCACGGCAACTTTCAGCCATTCGGATCCCAGATCTATACTCGCAACTGCCGATTGAGATTGAACAGCATTTAGCATAAATAGGGATAGAAATATCCCGAACCGGAATAGGGTTTTCGGGTTCGCCATATTCGAACCAGATGAAAGCTTCAGAGTGTGAAATTGGGCGGAAATGGAGGATTATATATGACTGAGGGAGTCGTTGTGGAAGATTTTAACGAATAGAAGAATGCCGCGTGTAAGAGAGGACACGTGGAAGAATATGAATAGCCTGATGTGTTGTTTTGACAGTGTTTGAGAATGCAAGAGGAGGGGGTGGTTTTGTTTACATGCGCTCACACGTGGAGTGGGTGGATGGGTGGATAATCCTTTTTATTTTTTAATCAAGTGGGATCTTCACTATAAGAGGTTGACAACCCCTCCTGTCAAGCTCTTCTTATACAAATGGAAAAGCTCAAAATTTGAATTAGTAGTCTAAGCCTTTAGCGAAATATTATAAATTTAGAGCATATTTGTTTGCCATTTATTTCTCATTTCTAGAACAAATCTTGTTGTCTACTTTACATGCATAAAATATATTTTTCAGAATTGCTAAAAACAAATTGTATTGCAAAACACGAGCAGAATTCGGAATATGGATGATCGAGACGATAATTAGGCTCTCTATCCTTAAGACATTTTAAACTCGTCACACGTTGCTTACAGTATGTGGTAAAGCGTCTTGTTGGGAAATTATTTAATTTCCCGTGATGGACCGACATATGTAATTAACTGTGT